TAAGTCCCATTTAACTAAATTTTTAGTGTCATCACGCATTCCATGGGTAAAGCAGCCATGTAACTCCTTAATCGCAGATTCTATATGTAACTACATGGATCCCATTAGATAAGGTCTACAGAACTTTCATTTGTCATATTCTGTAGGGTATTTCATGATTTTTGTACGAGAAGTCCTCTATTTTTCTTATATATTTAAATTACAATTTATCAATTGACATTGTAACCTTTTGATTACCCTCTGATATCAGGGACATCTAAAATAGTATACAAAATTAAAGTATAGGTCACTGTGGGAACTCACTCAATCAGCATGTCTGCTCTTATGCAACTACCCTGCCCACACTGGCTTCTTAGAGACCATTCCCAGAGAGTATTGTACTGACTTTGGATCGAACTATCTCCGAGGGGATTCTCACTTAATTGCAATTAACTTGGGCAGCTTAAATGACTGTCACACCTGCTGAGGCTGATAGGGGGTAATTAACTATCGTTTAGCCGCTTTAGTGGCTATCCCAGACGTCGAATCCGCTTAGGCTGAAAGCAATTTATCGAGGGACCCCGTGGAGATGGACCGATCCTGTTAGATCGATATAGGGATGGGAACCCAGTCTTAAACAGTGGCTCAAGAGCAGAGGAGGATAATATTGTGGGGTGGGGTCTAATCACTCAGCTGGGCATCTGGGTCAAGTCTTAGACCCTTTTCCGGTGTACCTAGATCGATCTAGCAGTATTGACCCATCTCTGAGAGGTTTTTCACTAAATTGCATTCAGCTTAAGGGATTCTGATGTCTTGCATGCCTACTGATAGGAGGTATTTACCAGACATCTGTTTTAACATACGTCCTTAATAACTTTACATCAGTTATTTAAAAATCATTTATTATCTATGAAATCTATTTAATTTTGTAGAAATTGAAGGAACTTCTTCTGAAAGTGGTTGAAAGTAGAAAAGGCCAAGTACATGATGACAGGCATGTGCCAGTGGTTGAAACTCCACCATGGAAATTTGGTTTTCGTGAAGTAGGTCTTGTGGTCTTCTTGCTCTTGCTGGCAGCCATAGGGTATGGAATGACCCGGAAAAGACAAGAACAGTTAGGGAGAGGTAAGAAAAGAAAGACACCAAATCCACCTGGAAGTAGGACAACTTAATAATTTCATCTGTAGTAATCAGAAGTTCCTTTTGATAATACATATGTACAAAATTATATTTTATATATTTCATCTGGATGTCTGATGATATTGAATTATTCTGGTGATAACAACCATGTAGTTTCAGATCATGATTAATTAAATAAGCTCCATTATTTAGAGCAGAATTTTTTTTGTGCCTCATTAAAATAGAAAAAAAAACTTAAAGAAATGTATTAGTTGAATACTTCTCATGATTTTATCTTCTTACAGCACCGTCAGCTGCAGAGTTGAGAAATGCGCGACTATCAAAATTGACCAGGTCTTCCCCTCAAGAGCCATCACAATTACCACAGAAAGATGGAAAAAGTGATATTTCACAGAAAAATGTGAGAAAGAGGAAACATGAAAACCAGGAGTCATCACATAAGAGTCCAGCAGCACTGAAACAAAATTATGATGATTGTGACAACGATCGAGCAGACAGTGAAGATGCCGCAGTTGTTGGTAAAACAGAAACAGAACCTCTAATATCCACAGTGACAAATGCCCATACTGCTAAAGAGGATCAGCAGGATATTTCCACTGCAGAAATGACTGGTTCAGTGAGGAGTCCTGCTCTAGCAGTACCAAAAACAAAAGTCAAACAAAAGAAGCAACAGCAACATGGGAGGGGTTAGTAATAGTACACTCATTCTTTTTACTGGCACACCAAAATGAAATATATCGTTCTTCAAGTCTATCAGATATTTCTATTACAAAACTTCATGCACACTTGCACTCTGCATAGATGCACGTGAATATAAGTTAGCAAAATTTGATGCAACTATTCTTTATACCCAATCTTTTATTTCTTTATAGTGCTATCAGCTGATGAGCTAAGAAATGCTCGACTTTCAAAATTGAACAAACCATTACTGCAGGAACAAGAGAAAAAAGATGTTAATGAAGAACAGCATTATTTACATCAGGGGCACTTAGAAGATGAGCAAAATGTTCTTGAGCATGTTCAAGATTTAAGTGTAAATGCAGATATTATGGTTACATCTTTTACAGGTCAAGAATTGACGTCGCATTTATCACATACCCTATCCAAAAATGAACAAGATACAGGAACTGATAAAACAGACACTGGTTTTATGGTGTCTTCAGTGTCAGCAGATGATACTGCTAAAGAAAATCAGGATGCTGTTTCCTCAGCTCAAACAATTGTCACACCCATAGCTCAGGGGAACAGTCCTGACATGTCAGAAACTATAATAGAGCCTGAAAGTGAAGAACATACCTGTCTCCTGTCACAGTCACCTGAGAAACAAACACAATCTAAAGCTATTGCACAAAAAGCGGAAGAAATAAGTGAAAGTAAAAGTGTTAAAGAACTGCCAAATGAAACTCTGGTTCCACTACTGCTGTCTGATGTCCTTGACATTCCAGTGGTATGAATATCGCATGCTATTCACTTTTTTCCAGTTATGCACTTTGTCATTTACATTATAGAATAATGCAATCCTGTATTTAATTTTAGAAGATATGCTCAGACTTCAATTGCAAGTATATGCTCAACTTTGATTCAAATCAATTTCCTTCATGAATATTAATAGAATATTGTGTGATACTATTCCTTCCTTCCCTTTAAACTTCTTTTTTTGTTTCTTACTTACTGATACAGTCATTCAATATTTCATATATTTCATCATTTAATCATATTTAGGAGCTGCAGGGCGAAAAAAGCACCCCCAAAAGTCTCTCAAAGCTGTATTTAAAGAACATCCCCAGTTCAGAGGCTGAGCTTAGTGCAGTGGTTTGTGAGGTGGTCCAGAAGAGGGTGAGACGTGAACACAGGGACAAGGTGGGGCTTTGTGTGCAATGCTTTGACAGGTGTTTTGAGGTTCAGAGACCTGAATCCCTGGCAAAATTCATACTGGAGGCAGTGAAGACAGGGCTAGCTTGTGCTATTTTAAAGGAGTTAGAAATTGGTAAGTTGTGTGTTGGTATACTGTAGATGTTATCAGCCACCTAGTACGTTTTTTAGATAAAAAAAAATTTATTTATTTATTTATTTATTTATTTATTTATTTATTTATTTATTTATTTATTTATTTTATGTTCTTCAAATAAAAATAGTATTATGGGAACAAAAATGAAGATATCTACATAAAAGAAGTTTATATGAATGGCTCTTTTTCTGTCTTTCAGATTTTTCAGATGATGATGACTTTTGGTCTGATGTAACAACAAGTGACAGTATCTCCACAGTGATAACACAGTTCCTGCAGGGGGTGTCTGGGTGTGGTGGGGTGGCAGTGCCCCCAGCTCTACTAGAACTGATCTTAACACAGGCAGTGCAGACACCAGAGGGAAGAAAGGCCATTATACAGGTGCTTAGAGTCAGTGGACTGCAAATCAAAAACAGCAAGAGGTATGGTATTCATACTTATGCATTAATTTTAAACACTGCATTTAAACAATTTTTAAAATATATTAATTGATTGAGTTACAAGGAAATGTTGCTCTCTGATGTAATCCATTTTTTTTTTCAGGTGAAATTGAAAAGAGATTTAATTTTTGTTGTTATGTACCAAAGTTACTTTAGTTTTGGTGTATTTTGATGTAAATTTTTTCCATACTCACTGGTCCTTGACAGTTTTATTTTTTAATGAAGATTTGATATTTTTAATAGATGTCATGGTCATTACTGCTGATTTAAACACCTTACAATGATCCAGATACATTGTGTCTCTGTATTTTCAGGCTTGATGAAGCCATATTGCAAAATTCAGCTCTACTAAATGGAGTGGAGATCTTGATGAATCAGGTAAGATTCTTACAAAAGATGTGTATTATGAATCTGTATTTGCAATAATTGGTTTACAGTTATATGTATGTTAATGTAAAATATAAGAATAAAGATATCTTCAGAGTTAATAACAAAACTTTCACATCTAATTCTAATTTGTAGCCTCTGCTGGTTCCAATATTGAGTGTTAGACTAAAGGAAGAAATAAAGGCTGGCAAAGAACATTTGGTAAGGACAAGCTTTTTACAAACTTTGATAATAGTGTACATGTTTTTATTAAGTATTTCTTTGGCTAAAGGTATCAGTTGAGTTTCATTAGACAAGCTATTTACAAACTTTGATAATAGTTTATATGTTTTTATTAAATATTTGTTTGGATAAAGGTATCAGTTGAGGTTCATTAGAAGGACATTACACAGTAGGATATTTATTGTATTAATTGATTTTTGACAAAAAGTATATTATTTATACCAAGAGAAAAATATATAATTTCATTAGTTTTTTTTTAATATTTTGTGATTTAAAAATTATATGGTTCATTATACTTCACATGATCTAACATGTGCTGACTCTGTACTAGGGAGCCTACTTTGAGAGGGAGTCTGTATTTGGTCCACTGCTATCAGTGAGCATAATTCCAACTGATGTGAAAGATGGATTAAATCTGAAGGCAGTTCAGGCCCAGATGTTCACCAGTTTGCCTAGATTTCCAAAACCTTTTGCAGATGATATACAAAGAGTACAGGTACTCAGGAATTTTCTTAGAATTTTTTTGGAAATTTTGTGAAGGATTAAGTTTGAGATTCACATTTCTCTTCTGAGGATTTTCGTAAGATATATATACATTTTATGTTTTAGTGTAATTTATGAGTTTCATTCAGGTAAATTCTATGAAGATAACATTTCCTTGTTAGTAAAAGTTGGATGGAACAATTAAATGAACAGAATACTTCTTAAAATTGATTCAATTCTGGAGGAGATTTAAATAACAATAAATTTAATAGACTTAGACTTAAGTAGTTGAGCCTACACTTGAATGCTTTGTTTATTATACAGAGCAACATTCAAGCTGTCCTCTACAAATGCCAAAGTGCAGTTTACTGTGGATTGAAGAAGATGATGAAGAGCTGTCGTAATGTAGCACTGGAGTGGATAGCCACAGTGATAAACATGAATGAGATGCGTCTCTCTTCAAATCCTTACCAAGATAACACAGATGGTTCTGCCAGCTGTACTGATGGTATATATACACAGTGTATTGTCACAACCAGCAAACTGTCTTTTACACTATACTGGCACCATCAACACATTGCCACAACTACTGCAATTGGCCATACACTGTCATATCTAATGCATTGTCACATATAACACACAGACACACATGCACTCATGCATGCACACTCACTCACACACACACACATACACATACACACACACACACACACACACACACTCTCTCTCTCTCTCTCTCTCTCTCTCTCTCTCTCTCTCTCTCTCAAGGTGTAACATAAAACAACTTTTTCTAAATATATTCACATACTTAGTAGTTTTGTTGTATGTTATAAAGTATGAACTCCTTTTCACACTGTCATTTTTTTGTCAGGATTTTTTTCGCTGAAATAATAAAAAATGTATCTGTATCTTTGCTACTTTTTTAGGCTTTATGCAGAATCTCTGTGCAGTCCTTTTAGAGTTCTGTGTGCCATTTTTCAAAGACATATCCAAGCTGGAAAAAATTGATTCCAGCTACTCGCACTCTGCTGCATGCTTATTAAACTATGATTATGAGACCTGCTTGGCTGGAGGTCAAATAGGTGAGTGGACCAAACAGAAAAATAGGGAAAATTAATTCTCAATGTCCTATAATAGTTATAATAACTACAGCCCTGGGGTATTTGCTATGGAACTTTCTCCATAAGAAAAAGTAGTGTAGCAAGTTATTAGGAATTTTTTGAGTATCATAACCTGCCTTATAAATCTAGGTGTTTAAAAAGTACACACCTTGATATGTTCATGGGAAAATTGTTGATACAGTATCAGATGATAACCCTGAAATGAGTCAGTTAGTTATCAAATAAATTATTTAAATTTGAAAACTGTTTTGATAGTCATGGTGATAAGTTGTCATATTAATTCATCATGATGTCATTCTTTTTCTGAAAAAATAGTTTCTGAGAAAACTCTGGATGATGATGACACCAAGAATAAAAGTGAGAGTAGTGAAGAACAATTTAACTTTATGACGGAAGTTTTCCATTTGACCCAAAGAGCAATGAACATTGGAAGTCTACCATCTCTAACACATTTCATCAAACTTTTAGGGTGAGCATCTTCAGTATGTTATTTTCATGTTTCAACACTTTTTGTCTAGTGTATTTTGTGGTAAGAATTATATTCCTCTTTTTGTGCTCTAAATATCAAAACTTAAGCGAGTTCTGGAGTCAGTTTTAAGAAATAAGATTTTTTCAAAATTTATGAAAATGTTAATGAGAGGAACTTTGCATTTATTACTAAAATTAGCAATGACTGAGTTTTGAGGCACACGTCTTGCTGTATATGCTGTTAAAGCATTTCTCCATTCTTTATTCTTACAGTCAGATTCAGAGAGCTAGAGCTGCCAAACAAGGGACACCTTTGGAAGAACAACTTCAAGCACAAGAAGCAGTAAGTAAATGATATTGAACATACAAGCTTGTAAACCATGTGTTATCAGTTACTTTTAATTCTTAGATTCAGTTAAATTTTGAAATGATAGAGTATGCAACTAAATTTTAATCAATTTATAGCAGTTAGCATACCTTTATCAGGTATAACCAAAGAAAGATTGGGATATATAATATCATACATACTTACCTTTGCAAACATTATTGTAGTGAATATTGAATATTTTCAAACTGTCTTCCACACTGCCACACCCATATCCTTCTTGTATAATTTCATGAAATAACAAAGTTTTCCACATCACTTTTTTATACAATTTTAGGTGTATTGCTGGCGATGGGACTCTTGCATTATGGACCCAGAATTCATAAGGAAAACTTCCGAATTCTACATAACTCAGGCAATGTGGCTGGACCTGTTGCTACAAAGGTGTAGAGAGAAGGTGAAAGAGAGTCTTTTTCATTGACCAAAGAAATCTTAATCCTCCTCAGATTAGAATATACTGCTCTACTCTGCATTTGAATCTATTGAGATTGATTTATTTTCTTTACTCGCTGTTCTACATTAATTCTTTCAATATCTCTTTTTTCCAAAGGGAAATAAAGCAGAAGTTACCATGCTGGAAAAACGGGTGTTTGCTCAGCTCCCTGAGTACATAGTGAAGGACATGGCCATATGGTTCTCTTTTGTGGCCAGACAAGTTGTAGTGCTGAAACCCAAAGTTCTCATAGGACTGCAGGTATTTATAGTAGGGTACAGGAGCAATGACTTCACTGCACATGAGGTCTACAGTATATAACTATGAGTAGTTCTGTCTTTGTCTACCTGATGAATTTTTCGTATTGCAGGCATCATTTTTTTGTGTACAAAGAACTTTGACATGTTTGTATATAAATATTGGCCTAATTGAAAATTGACATTGCTTTCATACTGTAATATTTTTCTCTTTACCAATGACAGTAATAACCAACCAAATGAAAAATATTGATAAATTCTGTCTTTGATATAAGAGAAAAAAATTGATATGTTTAAATTGATAAGACAGTTGCTTATCTCTTGCTTGAATTATGAACCTTAGAACGAATGAAATTGTTTTTCAAAATGTACACTTATGGTTCGTGTTATAACCCTTCATTACCTATGTAGCAATGTTCAAAATTCATAATGATAGTCCTTTATCTGTGAAAAATGTCTTTAATTTCTTGTTTTAGCTGGCACCATTTGTGGACTGCTGTGTGAACCTGTTACAAAGACCCGATCTTGTTCCTGGCCCCATTCCAGCCAGTAAGATAGTGAGTGCGCTGGCAGCCTTTATGCAGACTTCTAACAGGGGAAGCAGGTATAGGTATTTTGTTAAAATGAGTGAAGCGACATATTGGGGGTTCTTCCTTGACAATGTGACAGAGTTTGTGTCAGTGTAGCATATTTTAGTGGCATTTAGGAAGGGTGTACCTTGACAGGCAATTGTAGAACCACTTACAAGGTTCACTTGTTTAATAAATGTGATCACACAGATATTCCTAAATTTCATTTATCTATGTTTGTCACCTAATATTGCCATGTTGGATTCACACATTAAAAAAATTTTTATTAATTTTTTGGTGATGAAATATTCAGGTTTTTAACGTAATTATTATGTTTACTGGCTAGATCTGTAGGATGGGGCAATGAAGTGATGTCAGAGATGGCGTTAATGGTGTGTGCGTGTGAGGCAGTACAACATCACCTAGGGCCTGCCCTACTCCACACCTATGTTAGTGTGGATGTGGTTGAAGGACTGGATGTAGACAAGGAGGACTTTGATAAATACAGTGCAAGGTGAGATGTTGGAAAAAATCATGCATGCGCGCTCAGGCATTTACACACTGTGCACACATATGGGAGCATATTGACAGGTACTGAAAGAAAGACATTCAACTCCAATCCAAGATACTGCTTTATTGTTCCATTTCAATAAAATATACACTTCTGTTCCATGAAAAACATATTTTTTATTTATTATCTTTTGTCATACCTTAAATATTTTATTCTGTTTTGTGCTTTTTTTCTTAATATGGTAACATTGTATTTTTTTCCTTTTTTGTTAGGGCTGATATTGGTAAACTTATGGAATTCTTGTGGAACCGTAGAGACAGCAGGATATCTGTGTTGAATATGTGCGGAACTGAAGAGTTTCAGGTGTGGCTCACACATACTATAACACTACAATTTTACATGCACACTTTATAGCACATTTCATAGCATCACATTTATGATGGATCATTTACTTGCCTAATTATTAGGAGTTTATGTATAAATATCCATTATAAAATGCTCTTATATGTTGACATAATTTTTAATTTATTGACAATACAGTATCAAAATGTTCATTGGTTAATACAATATGCTTATGTACTTGCTAAATATGAGTGCTACATATGATAGACATGGCAGCAGGGTATGTGAGGCAGTGTGTTAGGTATGATAGTGTACTCCATTTAACATTCTTTTAGAGGTAGCAATTTGTTTAAAGTTTCCATGTGTTTGCTTAATTCCAGGCTTTTCTTGGTGCCACACTGGATACACTGTTGTACCAGTTACATGACAGTTTAGCGAGGTTGGCCAATGTCAGAAAACTACAAATTGCCAAAGAGGATGGTAATCAGAATTATCACCCTCCCCCTTTTTTTACATAATTGAAATAATTTTGAAGTTTTAATTTATCAGCTTGAATATTGTAATTTTATGACATTAACTTATATTTTATATACTTTAACTTTTAACTTCCTAAGGAGGATCAATCGACTGCTATGGAAACAGCAACTATTTATTTCCTATAAAATAATGATGAAGTTTGTCTCTATGTGCCAACCATGTGTATTTTACAGAATCTACTTGGGATCAACTGAGTTGGGAACAGCAACAAGAGAAAGAAAAGTTTTTAAAATCAGAGGAGGGTGTAGCTAGGGGATTTATGACAATGGTAGGTCCTCTTGCTAACAGAGGTTTCATGGGACACTTTCTCATATTCTCTTGCCTTCTTATTTTTTCTTACCATGGATTCACTCACCTTGGCTATTTTGAACTAGATTTTGCTGTAGATGTAGTAAAAGTAAGTCAGTTGATGAAATTGAAAGGAATGTAAAAAAAACAAAAAGGAAACAAGAGATTATTTTCAACTTAATGCAGTGCATTTAAATCCATTTCTATATTAAAGATAGAAAAATTAATATCCAGTTCTGTAATTCTGCAGTGGTGTTTAAATTCTAATTTTGTAATAGTTTCTTATTGGGCTAGTTGATATCAATGTGTATATAATATGGTCATTGTATTTTATTTTAGGCAAAGCAAACTCTGGGCCTTATCACCATGCTAAGTCAATCGGAGGAAGTGGCCAGATGTTTTACCCAGAAACCTATGGCACAGAGAGCTGCTAATGCAGTAAGCAGTATAGAATTTCTCCTTTCAGCAACCCTTTTACACTAACAGTGTTTAGATATTTATTATGTGAAACATTTTACATAAATCTACTGTCTTGTCTCAGGCCCTCATCGAAAAAAGTTTAATTTCTAGAATTTTTTTTTGTCCAGGCTGTGTCCTTAGTTATTTAATGTACTACATGTATTTACAAGGTATTATGCTGTTTTTTATTTTAGTTTATAGGTTTTATTGAAGCTCTTTGTGGGAGCAAGTCTGTTGAGTTTAAAGTGAAAGACATGGATAAGTAAGTGCTTAAATAGGATCTTAGTATAGTCCATGTACAGTAACATATTGAAAAAATTGTTTAAGATTTAAGCCACAATATTTCAAGTCTGTCCCTATGGTACGCATATAGATGTGGTCCAGTTTTTCCTCAGCAGTTAAATAAAGAGCATGTCATATGCAAAACAAAATTCAAGCATTTTGCTGTAAAACAACAGATTTCTACATGTAGCATGGGTTTTTATGCAAACATTGCCAAGTCTGTAAAGCATGCATACATGTGAGTAGGGAAAATTTGTTATATGTCATTGAATATTTTTTATTTGAATGAATGTTTCATATGCAGGTATTCATTCAATCCACGTCAGCTTCTGTCAGATGTCTGCCAAGTATTGCTGAGGATAGCAAAGGAGGAAACCTTCAAAACTGAAGGTTTTGTTCACAGCCTGGCTATGGATCCTGACTACTCCCCGACTGCATGGGCCAAGACGTACACAGTCCTTAGCGAGAAAGGAGTTGGTGATGATCAAATGGTGGAGGAGTTTGGTGAACTTTTAACACAGGTATAAAGAGCTATCTGTGAATTTATTTTTTGCCAATTTGTTAGGCTTTGGTAGAATCAAGGAGTTATAACAGAAGGAGATTACACGCAAGCCTTTCTATTNCTAAGCTGGAAAAAATTGATTCCAGCTACTCGCACTCTGCTGCATGCTTATTAAACTATGATTATGAGACTTGCTTGGCTGGAGGTCAAATAGGTGAGTGGACCACACAGAAAAATAGGGAAAATTAATTCTAAATGTCCTTTAATAGTTAGAATAACTACAGCCCTGGGGTATTTGCTATGGAACTATCTCCATAAGAAAAAGTAGTGTAGCAAGTTATTAGGAATTTTTTGAATATCATAACCTGCCTTATAAATCTAGGTGTTTAAAAAGCACACAACTTGATATGTTCATGGGAAAATTGTTGATACAGTATCAGATGATAACCCTGAAATATGTCAGTTATCAAATAAATTATTTAAATCTGAAAACTGTTTTGATAGTCATGGTGATAAGTTGTCATATTAATTCATCATGATGTCATTCTTTTTCTTACAAAAATAGTTTCTGAGAAAACTCTGGATGATGATGACACCAAGAATAAATGTGAGAGTAGTATAGAACAATTTAACTTTATGACGGAAGTTTTCCATTTGACCCAAAGAGCAATGAACATTGGAAGTCTACCATCTCTAACACATTTCATCAAACTTTTAGGGTGAGCATCTTCAGTATGTTATTTTCATGTTTCAACACTTTTTGTCTAGTGTATTTTGTGGTAAGAATTATATTCCTATTTTTGTGCTCTAAATATCAAAACTTAAGCGAGTTCTGGAGTCAGTTTTAAGAAATAAGATTTTTTCAAAATTTATGAAAATGTTAATGAGAGGAACTTTGCATCTGTTACTAAAATTAGCAATGACTGAGTTTTGAGGCACACGTCTTGCTGTATATGCTGATGAAGCATTTCTCCATTCTCTATTCTTACAGTCAGATTCAGAGAGCTAGAGCTGCCAAACAAGGGACACCTTTGGAAGAACAACTTCAAGCACAAGAAGCAGTAAGAAAAATGATATTGAACATATAAGCTTGTAAACCATGTGTCATTCTTAAATCAGTTACTTTTAATTCTTAGATTCAGTTAAATTTTGAAATGATAGAGTATGCAACTGCATTTTAATCAATTTATAGCAGTTAGCATACCTTTATCAGGTATAACCAAAGAAAGATTGGGATATATAATATCATACATACTTACCTTTGCAAACATTTTTGTATTGCATATTGAATATTTTCAAACTGTCTTCCATACTGCCACACCAATATCCTTCTTGAGATAACAGTTTTCCACATCACTTTTTTTTTATACAATTTTAGGTGTATTGCTGGCGATGGGACTCTTGCATTATGGACCCAGAATTCATAAGGAAAACTTCTGAATTCTACATAACTCAGGCAATGTGGCTTGACCTGTTGCTACAAAGGTGTAGAGAGAAGGTGAAAGAGAGTCTTTTTCATTGACCAAGGAAATCTTAATCCTCCCTAGATAAGAACATACTGCTCTACCCTGCATTTGAATCTATTGAGATTGATTTATTTCCTTTACTTGCTGTTTTACATTAATTCTTGCAATATCTCTTTTTTCCAAAGGGAAATAAAGCAGAAGTTACCATGCTTGAAAAACGGGCGTTTGCTCAGCTCCCTGAGTACATAGTGAAGGACATGGCCATATGGTTCTCTTTTGTGGCCAGACAAGTTGTAGTGCTGAAACCCAAAGTTCTCATGGGACTGCAGGTATGTATAGTAGGGTACAGGAGCAATGACTACACTGCACATGAGGTCTACAGTATATAACTATGAGTAGTTCTGTCTTTGTCTACCTGATGAATTTTTCATATTGCAGGCATCATTTTTTTTGTGTACAAAGAACTTTGACATGTTTGTATATAAAGATTGGCCTAATTGAAAATTGACATTGCTTTCATACTGCAATACTTTTCTCTTTACCAATGACAGTAATAACCAACCATATGAAAAATATTGATAAATTGTGTGTCTTTGATATTAGAGGAAAAAAATTTTTTAAAAAATAAAAAAAAAAGACAGTTGCTTATCTCTTGCTAGAATTATGAACCTTAAAACGAATGAAATTGTTTCTCAAAATGTACACTTATGGTTCGTGTTATAACCCTTCATTACCTATATAGCAATGTTCAAAATTCATAATGATAGTCCTTTATCTGTGAAAAATGTCTTCAATTTCTTGTTTTAGCTGGCACCATTTGTGGACTGCTGTGTGAACCTGTTACAAAGACCAGATCTTGTTCCTGGCCCCATTCCAGCCAGTAAGATAGTTGGGGCGCTGGCAGCCTTTATGCAGACTTCTAACAGGGGAAGCAGGTATAGGTATTTTGTTATATTGAGTGAATTAAGCGGCATTTTGGGGGTCCTTCCTTGACAATGTGACAGTTTGTGTCAGTGTAGCCTATTTTAGTGGCATTTAGGAAGGGTGTACCTTGACAGGCAATTGTAGAACCACTTACAAGGTTCACTTGTTTAATAAATGTGATCGCACAGATATTCCTAGATTTCATTTATCTAAAACTTTGCTACATGGTCACCAGGGAAATTTTTTAAAGGTATTTTTATTCTATACTTAGATCTGTATGGATCTGTTGTAGAGTGGTGCAATGAAATGGTATCAGAGGTAGCACTAACGATACTTCAAATGTTGACTGTGATTACAATAAAAGCTTAAAAATTTAGTCAGTCATGAAAATTTTTTCAGGAATGTAATGCCAGTGTAACTATTTCTCATTTTGAAAATGGGCTCTAAATGATTTTGAAATGTTTGTGACCTAATATTGCCATATTGAATTCACACATTCTAAAATTTTAATTAATTTTTTGGTGATGAAATTTTCAGGTTTTTATCGTAATTATATTATATTTATGTTTACTGGCTAGATCTGTAGGATGGGGCAATGAAGTGATGTCAGAGATGGCGTTAATGGTGTGTGCGTGTGAGGCAGTACAACATCACCTAGGGCCTGCCCTACTCCACACCTATGTTAGTGTGGATGTGGTCGAAGGACTGGATGTAGACAAGGAGGACTTTGATAAATACAGTGCAAGGTGAGATGTTGGAAAAATCATGCATGCGCGCACAGGCATTTACACACTGTGCACACATATGGGAGCATATTGACAGGTACTGAAAGAAAGACATTCAACTCCAATCCAAGATACTGCTTTATTGTTCCATTTCAATAAAATATACATTGTTGTTCCATGAAAAACATATTTCTTATTTATTATCTTTTGTCATACCTTAAATATTTTATTCTTTTTTGTGCTTTTTTTCTTAATATGGTAACATTGTATTTTTTTCCTTTTTTGTTAGGGCTGATATTGGTAAACTTATGGAGTTCTTGTGGAACCGTAGAGACAGCAGGATATCTGTGTTGAATATGTGTGGAACTGAAGAGTTTCAGGTGTGGCTCACACATACTATAACACTACAATTTTACATGCACACTTTATAGCACATTTCATAGCATCACATTTATGATGGATCATTTACTTGCCTAATTATTAGGAGTTTATGTATAAATATCCATTATAAAATGCTCTTATATGTTGACATGATTTTCATTTTATTGACAATACAGTATCAAAATGTTCATTGGTTAATACAATATGCTTATATGTACTTGCTAAATATGAGTGCTAAATATGATAGACATGGCAGCAGGGTATGGGAGGCAGTGTGTTAGGTATGATAGTGTACTCCATTTAACATTATTTTAGAGGTAACAATTTGTTAAAAGTTTCCATGTGTTTGCTTAATTCCAGGCTTTTCTTGGTGCCACACTGGATACACTGTTGTACCAGTTACATGACAGTTTAGCGAGGTTGGCCAATGTCAGAAAACTACAAATTGCCAAAGAGGATGGTAATCAGAATTATCACCCTCCCCCTTTTTTTACATAATTGAAATAATTTTGAAGGTTTAATTTATCAGCTTGAATATTGTAATTTTATGACATTAACTTGTATTTTATATACTTTAACTTATAACTTCCTAAGAAGGATCGATCGACTGCTATGAAAACAGCAACTATTTATTTCTTATAAAATAATGATGAAGTCTGTCTCTATGTGCCAACCATGTGTATTTTACAGAATCTACTTGGGATCAACTTAGTTGGGAACAGCAACAAGAGAAAGAAAAGTTTTTAAAATCAGAGGAGGGTGTAGCTAGGGGATTTATGACAATGGTAGGTCCTCTTGCTATCAGAGGTTTCATGGGACACTTTCTCATATTCTCTTGCCTTCTTATATTTTCTTACCATGGATTCACTCACCTTGGCTATTTTGATCTAGATTTGCTGTAGATGTAGTAAAAGTAAGTCAGTTAATGAAATTGAAAGGAATGTGAAAAAAAAAAAAAGGAAACAAGAAATTATTTTCAACTTAATGCAGTGCATTTAAATCCATTTCTATATTAAAGATAGAAAAATTAATATCCAGTTCTATAATTCTGCAGTGGTGTTTAAATTCTAATTTTGTAATAGTTTCTTATTGGGCTAGTTGATGTCAATGTGTATATCATATGGTCATTGTATTTTATTTTAGGCAAAGCAAACTCTGGGCCTTATCACCATGCTGAGTCAATCGGAGGAAGTGGCCAGGTGTTTTACCCAGAAACCTATGGCACAGAGAGCTGCTAATGCAGTAAGCAGTATAGAATTTCTCCTTTCAGCAACCCTTTTACACTAACAGTGTTTAGAAATGTATTATGTGAAACATTTTGCATAAATCTACTGTCTTGTCTCAGGCCCTCATCGAAAAAAGAATTTTTTTTTGTCTGGGCTGTGTTATTTATTAGTTATTTAATGTTCTACATGTATTAACAAGGTATTATGCTGTTTTTTTATTTTAGTTTATAGGTTTTATTGAAGCTCTTTGTGGGAGCAAGTCTGTTGAGTTTAAAGTGAAAGACATGGATAAGTAAGTGCTTAAATAGGATCTTAGTATAGTCCATGTACAGTAACATATTGAAAAAATTGTTTTAGATTTAAGCCACAATATTTCAAGTCTGTCTCTATGGTAAGCATATAGATGTGGTCCAGTTTTTCCTCAGCAGTTAAAATAAAGAGCATGTCATATGTAAAACAAAATTCAAGCATTTTGCTGTAAAACGACAGATTTCTACATTTAGCATGGGTTTTTATGCAAACATTGCCAAGTCTGTAAAGCAAGCATACATGTGAGTAGGGAAAATTTGTTATATGTCATTGAATATTTTTTATTTGAATGAATGCTTCATATGCAGGTATTCGTTCAATCCACGGCAGCTTCTGTCAGATGTCTGCCAAGTATTGCTGAGGATAGCAAAGGAGGAAACCTTCAAAACAGAAGGTTTTGTTCACAGCCTGGCTATGGATCCTGACTACTCCCCGACTGCATGGGCCAAGACGTATACAGTCCTTAGCGAGAAAGGAGTTGGCGATGATCAAATGGTGGAGGAGTTTGGTGAACTTTTAACACAGGTATAAAGAGCTATCTGTGAATTTATTTTTTTACCAATTTGTTAGGCTTTGGTGGAATATGATTTCTTCCTATGTCAGTGCTCTTTTGATAATTTATATACTTGCATTAAGCGCCAGTTTTCTTGTTGAGTGAAACTGAGAGGAAATATGCCATTTTTGTTGCAAGGTCAGAGTGCACTTTTTGTGTTGTATTTAACATGATTGTGAAATGTAGCAGATCTCCAGGAGTATCAAGAGTGTGCCTGAGCTTCAATTTTCTAAAGAAGCATCAAAGACACTGAAGGTCCACAGAGACATGTTTTCTTGCCCCTTTCTTGATACCTTCATCCTCCAGTGTAGTGGAGTTGGTTTTTCAATAGTTCATCATTATATATACGTTTATCATGGTATGAAATGATAGTATGTAACACTTAAAATGAAGAAGTAAAACATGAAAGCATGAAGAACTAAAAGAAATTCAAATTGCTTTCATACTCAACAGATTGACAAACTGAGAGAAGTACAAGTCCAGGAGGTGGAGGGTAGAGCAGAAGACCAAAAAAGAGCTTGGGACACCATTTTAGCTCCTCTAGACATACCCAGTATTGAAGAAGAATACCACAACAGGATGGTCGATTTAAAGTATGGAACAGCAGACATACAGGTAACTTGAGGGTAAAAATAATGGACCTTTAATAATATTCATTTCCTCCAGATTTAGAATCCTCTTTATAATGGATCTTAAGAGTTGAAACAAAATTTTCTTAGCATAATGTCAGTTTATCCGTTTCATTTGTCTTAAACCACAGATATACCATATTCATACCCTGAAAATTTTTTGAAGTGTTGGACTGATTTTTTAAAGAGTATAGGATTATGATGTATGGAATTGAACATTGCTGTGTAATAAATAATTTTAAACAAATATAATGGTCATTGGAAATTCCAGGAGAGTCATAGCTTTAGAACTAGTGCAGGCCAGTCTCATGATCCTCGGTGAGTTGTAAAATGCATTTAGTGACATCGTTTTGTGAACTTTGTATATTTTAAGACTGAAAAGCATGTTATTATGGCTGAGATTTGAATAACAAATATTTGAAATTAATACATTCTGTGAATAAAAATAAAAGCTTAAGAAGTAGAAAGGCAAACCCCCACTTCCTAAGGTTGCCTTGCTCTTCCACAAAGTAAAGTTAACACATGCAAGATACATAATGTGTAATTGCAGGATACATGTAGGACCTCTTAAAACTGAATGCTACAGCTGGAACACTAAAATAAATGCTTGATGTGAAAAGACCTTAATTTCAACACATTATGAATATGCCTTAAAACATCTCCATAAAATTCACTCTTAAAAATGTATGGAAATATTTTTCTCCAGGTCACAGAAGTGGAAGGCTCTTATGAAAGAAATCAAACAATTACAAAAAGACTTGCCTGTACACTTGAATGCTGCCATTTTTGCAAGACAGGTATTATTTATGTCACTATAATGGCCCTTAGTGCATATCTATTAATCTGTTGATGACCAGAACTACAGATTACGTAATACAAATTGAAAATAAATTCTAGGTCGATACAAATGGAAAAGGAATTTTGCATTGTTAAATTTGATCATGTTTTGTCTATACTGGGTAATTTTTTTTTTTTTTTTTTTTTTNCACTAAAATAAATGCTTGATGTGAAAAGACCTTAATTTCAACACATTATGAATATGCCTTAAAACATCTCCATAAAATTCACTCTTAAAAATGTATGGAAATATTTTTCTCCAGGTCACAGAAGTGGAAGGCTCTTATGAAAGAAATCAAACAATTACAAAAAGACTTGCCTGTACACTTGAATGCTGCCATTTTTGCTAGACAGGTATTATTTATGTCACTATAATGGACCTTAGTGCATATCTATTAATCTGTTGATGACCAGAACTACAGATTAATACAAATTGAAAATAAATTCTAGGTCGGTACAAATGGAAAAGGAATTTTGCATTGTTAAATTTGATCATGTTTCGTCTATACTGGGTAATTTTTTTTTTTTTTTTTTTTTTTTTATTAAAGGTACAATTGTACTGGTTCTCATCACAAGATTTGCTCAAACTTTCAATTCTAATGTACATTAACAATTTCTTTTTCTATTTATATTTTATTGACTTAATTTATATTAAGATATAAACTCTTGATTGGAATCAACTGGATCGGAAATGAATTTTTTTTTCTAGGATGAGAATCAGATGGACATAGTACGTGCTGTGATCACAGGTCCTGCTGATACGCCATACAGTCGAGGCTGCTTTGTGTTTGACATCTACTTCCCCACCAACTACCCACATATTCCACCTCTGGTCAAACTGGTGACAACAGGGAATGGCACTGTCAGGTCAGTTCTGTGGGGAAATATTAGCTAGCCTGTATTGGCACTAAGTTTAGCTCAATTTCTGTTTTAAAAACTTTTAGGTTGCAAATGACATCAAAACTTTCCTAATGAATGTAACATTCTCTTCTTCTGAATTAGTTTTTGTCAGTTTTGTGGTTTACAGTCACCAAAGTTTATTTTCATACATGTACTAAAATTACTGAAAAAATATGTGCCTTTAAATGTTTGGTTTAACATTGGTATATTCTTTAATTTTCTTGCATCTGTGAACTTCACTTTTTGACAGGAGTTTCAATTTGATTTTTGCGTTAAAAGGGCAAAAACATAGCTTCTACACATTTGATATGTGTTAATAGTTAAGCTAGTAAATAATATTGCTAAACTACGATTTTGAGTCATGACAATAAGAATATTGTAAAAATACTCTTGAGAATCTTTTGTCACACAGGTTCAATCCCAACCTCTATGCAGATGGCAAGGTGTGCTTGAGTCTGCTGGGGACATGGCACGGAGGTGACGCCAGTGAAAAGTGGAACCCCAAGACTTCATCATTGTACCAGGTAACTTATGATAAGGGGATAAATAACATGGAACTATATCTTAGAGCGAATTCAGATTCACCCGTACTAGCTGGTTCGGTCCAACTCTGTAGAGGATTCTTGCTAAAGTGAAATCGGTGGAATACGCTTAATCAGCACAGTAGTTTATTACCTCCTAGCTGCTTGAGGAGTCATGTCAGACAGTTAAGCTGATTCCACTGATTGCACTTTAGCGGGAATCCCCTACAGAGTTGGACTGACCCAGCCAGCACAATGTGTGAATCTGAATGTTAAATGGTGCGCCCATTTAAAATTTTAGAGCGAAAGTTGATCTCAACATTAGGACCAAAGATTTAAGTCTTTTTTGATCTGAAATGAATCAGTGATGGTCCACTCAAAAGAAATACAGAGGAAAAAAGTTTAAAGAAAAACGTATGTAAATATAAAGTGAAAATATTACTAAGAAATTGTTATTATATCAGGTACTGGTTTCCATACAAGGGATGATCTTGATTGAAGATCCTATGTTTAATGAACCTGGTTATGATGGCATAAGAGGGACTGAAGAAGGAGAGGTATTATTATAGGATACATTAGTACAAATAACATAAATTATTGGTTGAATATTTTCTTAGGGTAGACTTTTTCAGTGCTGTTGTTCATGAAAATGCAGGCAGTTTAGTGTATTTCTTTTAAACTTAAAATTTTGTGGTTCATTGGTTGGGAAAATATTAGTACACTAGTGAAGTGAAACATTTTCATAAAAAATTGATTACCTTTTGAATTATTATTTAATGATGATCAGGTAGCAGGAAAACTTGCTCACGAGAAAAATATTGTAGTGATTTATATGTTTCATTGTCCTTCTTTAGTCCCGCAGTGCTCAGTACAACAGTAAGATACGACTCTACACCATACGCCATGCTATGCTGGGACAGCTGAGAAAACCTCCCCCAGGTAAGTGTCACATCTGACACACAAAGGTAATTTTATCATATTTGACAGTCTCTGGGCCCGTTTCATAAAAAGTGTAGTTTTGGGGTTAAACTTAAACTGCTGAAAGCATATGATGAACTGCAAAGTCAACTTTGCACTCATATTTGTCTTTCAGTAAAAGCATTTCACAAGTGGTTGGTCCACAATACATGTAGTTGATGAACTTTTAACTCTTAAAAAAGAGCTTTTATCTCCACTTAGAATAAAAATATTGTCTGTGAAAACATTTTTATAGGGTTTAGTTAAAAAATCAAAAAAGATTAAAAAAAAGTTAGTACACAGTCTACATTGGATTATTGTAACTTAGCTAAAATTCTTAAATCTTTGCTAAAAACCAGTTTTCAACTTTAACATGTAAACTTATCATTATGAAACAGGTTCTTGAATGTACCCTTTATGCAAATCTTCAGCATAAACAATAAGTAGAGAAATTTGAATATATATTTTTTCACATTCCTTTTGATTGCATTTGTTTCTTCTTGAGGCTAAATGTAATTATAAACGGTAGATCTAATAGTATGTATTGTAATTTTGGAACTGTCATGTTTAATATCCTTGCAATAACAGTATTTCATGTTCTCTCCCAACTTTTTTGATCATTTCATTCATTGAAACAGCAGATTATTACTTTTTTAATTTTATATTGAACATGCATACTGTTGCAGTCATAAATTATTGGTGTTAGTTTACCCAGATTCACTTGCCTTTTAAAGAAAATTCCGACATGAACACATAAGTAGGCCTTTGGTAATTAAAGTGTTATTTAAAAATTTGATAAAATGTCTGAGTATTTTGTGTAAAAAAAAAAGAACCACATTACTTTCCAGGTTCAGAAATTGTCATACGTAGACATTTTTATCTACAACGCCAAATGATCCTGAAGCAGTGCCATGACTGGCTGGAAATAAGTGAGGAGTCCGAGAAAGGAAGACTTCATCTAGCAGTCGAGGAACTGAGGACTGAACTGGAAAAACTGGCAGAAGATCCCAACATATTTGATGAAAAAGATGAAGAATCTGAAGATTAATGTTTTGAAAATCATGGAGGGGGAGGGGTGGGGGGGATTTGCGTAAAATGTTTACATTTGGTACTCGGAAAACAGACAAAATTACTGATGTTATTACTGCTTTTCTTTCAAGTTAAAGGAGTATTTTAATAAAAGGGGTACATGTATATAATACATGTACTACATACCTGAACATTTCAAGTAACAGAGACAAATATTTGCTTGAAATTACTAAATGGAATGCACAGGAATAACTGTATCTGTTAATTGGTAAGGGCACTTCATAAAACACTGCACCTATTGCAATAGAGGAAACTTTCTAAAAACTTTAAAGGGATAATAACTCTTCGTATGAGATCTATATTTCACAATAAAAACATTGAGAATAACTCATAGAAATATAATATAGTGTTTTACCACAAAAACGGCAGTTATAGCTATTATTCTGATATCTGAGCTTGTCTGTAGACCACGTGACCTCCATTTATGGCTATACTCTGTTAAAATCTCTTAAGAGATTTTAACAAAAAACCAAACTTTTTAGAAAAAAACCAGGGACTGACTTTGAATGTAAAAATGGATTCATTAACCATTGGTTAGTATGGGAAAATTGTTGTTTACTCCAGGAAAATTCATTTTTTGGCCGAAACGAAGAGTTATTATCCCTTTAAGGACAACAGACACATCAAGTAATTGTTTCATTCATCTTTATTAAGCTATAGGCTTGTTTACATTGCTGTCCTACATTTACCACTGGCTCAAAAGTTTATAAAAATATAAAGCACAGAACCAATAAATGTGGACTCTCTTATAGGAATCTTCCTGGTTTGTTATGTACCTTGTTTCATCTTTGATCTTCACAAAAAATATCATTAAACATTAAATGCAAGTTTTCTGACATGGCACATATCATTTTCTCCAACCTTTTAAGTATTGTGCAGATGGCTTTCACGAGGGCTCCAATACTAGAACCTTTAACAACATTCAGAATATTATGAGCTGCATGCAAAATTCAACAGCATTTTTAAGTTTCCTAATCCTGAAGAAGAGGTTCAGGCTTCTGTACTGCAATCATATAAAGTGAAAAAGTAAAAAATATTGCAATGTTGGTGCACCATGAAAAAGTAATGCCACACCTGGAATTTTGTGCATCACAGCTCTGTATATATAGAAAAATACCTTTTATTTAATAGACAAAATGGGCGCTGTGTCATAGTTCCAACTTATTTTTTATAGTATTTTCTGCCATTTTATAGTCCATGTAACCAACAATGGGGTATTTTTGGACATAAACTCCTTTGTAAACCTCATCTAAGGATTTGAGCTCTTGGTCAGTCAATCCAGTCTGAAATATTAAATGCCATGATTAACATTTGACTATTTAAATAAATTTCAGGAAAAATGATGAAAGGTGACTAAACACAGTAGCCACAATATAAACCTACAAATATACACTGGCATATTAATGACAAATATGCATGTCTTTTGCATTATTCTCTGTAAAAGTTTTTTCCCTTTTTTAATAATTATTTGACTAATTATGTTAAAAAAGGATTGTTTCATTTTCTTAAGTCTGATTACAGATAAAGTCATTACAAAATTACACCACAATGCAAGTCTGCAAGTACCTACCAAATCATGGTTTAGATCAGCTGAATCTAGAGACATTTTGGCAACAGCTCTGGTTGAGTCTTTTCCAACTAATACGTTGTAGGAGGCTCCTTTTCCATAAAAATCTGAAATGAGCACGAAAAGTGTTAACTACATATTAAGCCAATCTCCACTTCTTCATAATTTATGAAAGATGAAAGAAATCCAAATTTCAATTAACCAAACACCTATATCACTAGCAGTATCAAATGCCTGTATTCTGACAACCATTTATTACTTTTTATGAAACGAAGCAGGGAAATTGCTGACAAATTCAGCAGTTATCAAAAGAGACACTTTATCATATATCTGACAGCTGAAAAATTGTATACCTGATCCTGTTGTCACATCAAAAACTACTCCTTTCACTGCCATATAGATAGGCAGACTGGGCTGAAAGAGTAACGAAAAACTAATAGACTAAAAGTTATACGTGTACTGTACTGTAGCTAGCAAAAAGATTAAAGACAATAGTATAACAGTCCTTTGAGTCTGGAAAATAACTTTTAAGTGGAGTTATTCATAACAAATAGCCCATTTAGTGCTACTCTTCAAAGCGGCCCCACGGGCATCGATTGTTCTAGCGAAGATGAATGAATATAATTCCAGTATCACTTGTGATCAACTTAAAAATGACACATTTTGGATTGAGTCATTAAGTGCTCAAACTTACATCAGATCCATCGAACCTTTTCAATTCTTCACCAGTAAATATTTTCAGATCGGAATTACTTTTTGGAATATCGACTTCTTCTAAAATATATTTGTCCCCCAACACCATAATAAACGAACCGATAAAGCACAGTAAACTATACACTTCCTTGTTTGAGGGTGCCATCTTGGATAATGCCTAGGTTAGTATGTAAAAACGCATTTTATTGGCCAGTCTCACCGTGGTGTGAGAAATAATCCAATCAATGCATTCAATACACATTTCTCAGGAATTGATGGGGAGGGTCTACGGTAAAGGAAAAAAGTCGTCTGTGCTTGGATAGGTGTTTAACGTTTAAATCTCAGCCCATCGAGGATGGACAGCCAAGGGAGAAAAGTTATAGTTTGCGATAATGGCACTGGGGTTAGTATCTAAACTTTGGATTATTCGTTGACACTGTAGACCGTCTCATATACTCTATATTTTGAGATGCCGGTCAGCTTGTTTTTGGCGTTCACGGAAGTACTGCCCCATCATACAAATTTATGATGAGTTTTGATTAAAATTTGACAATTGCTGCCTTCTAACTTCTGACGTTTGATTTTAGAATAGGTGTAGATTATTGTTAATTGCTATTTGCTAGTTATTTGCTACAATTGTTAAAAACTTAACGTATAAACCTACTTGTATATCCTACTATTTCTGAAAGTTTATAAAAGTTAGTCGACAGATTAGTAAATCACAGTACATTTGTTTAATCACATTGCACTCTTCAAGTAAAGAGATTCCAGGAACATAGGATAGTGACATTTCATGTGGCTTTGCATAAGATGTCAACATGCTAAAAACTTTTTGAGTTAGGACTAATAGGAGAGAGACTGGCTTTGCAGATCTTTTAACTTTATAATCTTGGTTATTTTCAGTTTGTCAAATGTGGCTATGCAGGTTCCAACTTTCCAGAACACATCTTCCCTTCCTTGGTAGGAAGGCCTATCATCAGGTCTAATACTAAAGTTGGAGATATAGAAATCAAGGTACTAGTAAGCATTTGTGTATTAGCACTAGTAGTCTGAGTGGGGTGAGGGATGATCTAAATTGTTGTCAAAAGTCATCATTTTTAGCTTTTCATCTTTTACTCTGTGGAGGAGGGTCTGGAAAAATCTACTCTTTGTAGGCTTGTGAAAATGATGATAAAAACAAGATGACCCCTTACTTTTCGTAATGAAAGGAAGGCTGATTTTAATGTATTTTAAAATACCCAGGATTTGATGATTGGAGATGATGCCAGTAAACTGAGGTCCATGTTAGAAGTCAACTACCCCATGGAGAATGGGATAGTGAGGAACTGGGAAGACATGATGCATGTGTGGAACTATACATTTGGAGAAGATAAACTCAATATCAAACCCAGGGACTGCAAGGTTTTGCTGACTGAACCACCAATGAATCCAACAAAAAATAGAGAAAAGATGATTGAGGTAATACAATGCTGCCTGTATTTCATTTAGTAAGCAAAATAATACCCCATTACCTTTTTTTTTTTTTTTAGGATGCAATATAGTTTTAGAATTGATCGAACATTTATTTTTAATTCTGCTCAATAATTGCATTAATAACCTGTCACATTTTTATTATGAAACTATTTGTTTTGTATTCAATACTCTGCAGTGCCTGCCTGTATTTCTTAATTTTTTAAAAACATACTACAATAAAATTCTGTCAGGTAGTGTAAACTTCATGGTAAAGGGGTATGCGTTTATAAAATGCACGATTAACTTTTGTTAATTCTTGCTCCTTCTAATTCTCTTACACACTTTCTTTCAGGTTATGTTTGAGAAGTACCAATTTGCAGGTGTATACATTGCTATACAGGCAGTGTTGACACTTTATGCACAAGGTAATTACCACTAGACATTCTTGACGTGCTTGTGAATATCTCATGAAAATATTTCTATGCCAATAAAAAGTTATTTGCAAAAACACAAATTTGTCACTTTTGCCACTGCCAGATAATATTGTCAGATCTACAATTTCTATGTTTGTCCAAGTGTCTACTGCTTTTATTGCAAGACAGATTTCCAGCTCAAACACTGGTGATATAGTAAATAAATAATACTTGATTTCATTTTGCAGGTTTACTCACAGGAGTTGTAGTAGATTCAGGGGATGGTGTGACACACATATGTCCAGTGTATGAAGGCTTTGCACTTCCACATTTGACAAGAAGATTAGATATTGCTGGTAGAGACATAACCAGATATCTTATCAAGGTAAGTGTGAAACACATGAATATTGTTGCTTATCTTATGGTCTAGTGTTCTTTCAGGATATTCAATAGATTTATATTTTAAACACTTGGTAAATGTTTTGAAAGTCTTTAGTGATTTTATTAACTTTTTTGTTTTTCAGAAGTTTTGAAAAAGTTCAATGTGCAATGACTTCTTTATGTTTAACATTTTTTCTCATTGTTTCCAAGTAAAACTTAACACCTGTATTTGATTGTGCTTTAAAATTCACTTTTAAGAATACTATAGAATAGTATGAATTTTTTAAATTATGAATGAAAGGATGAGGGAAGCCATACCATTCATAATCAGTGGAACACTTAATGTGAAAATATTCAATGTTATCTATATCTTGGTATTCCAGTTGCTGTTATTGAGAGGCTATGCTTTCAATCACTCTGCAGATTTTGAGACTGTGCGCATGATGAAGGAAAAATTGTGCTATGTAGGATATGACATTGAATCTGAACAAAAGTTAGCAGTAGAAACAACAGTTCTGGTGGAGTCATATTCTGTGAGTCAGATTTATTGGCGCTTGAATAATAATTAAGATCTGCCTCTGAGCGTTAAATAATTTTGTTACTTAATTTAGTATGTGTGAAACAATTTTATTGGTAAGGTAATTTTAAACTGCTGATATATATTTATTTGATTCCTGTTGTGTTTTGCAGTGAGTCATAATGGCATAAGTGGAAAGGCATCCAATAACTTGAGACATCCATTGCAAGTCCTATCCACTTTTTGGTTGTGTTTTATTTGAGTAGCTCAATATTGCATCCAGAAACTGAATTGTGCACTAAGGATCAAGGATTTTGTGCATTCAGAGACTTTGAATAAAACGGAATGTAACATTTGAGGATCATTTTCCCCCCACGTCAAATTTTTTTCAATAAATTGTATTGCATGCTCTTTTTCAGTTACCTGATGGCAGAACGATCAAGGTTGGTGGTGAGAGATTTGAGGCCCCAGAAGCCCTGTTCCAGCCACACTTAATCAATGTGGAAGGCATGGGCATGGCAGAGTTACTGTTCAGCACCATCCAGGCTGCAGACATGGACACAAGGCCAGAGTTTTACAAACATATAGTGCTATCTGGAGGATCCACCATGTACCCAGGGCTTCCCAGTCGTTTAGAGAGAGAGATTAAGCAACTCTATCTGGAGAGAGTGCTCAGGGGAGATACAACCAAGTTATCTGTAAGCATCTCAGTTGCTGCTGTTTTTAAATATTTCAATAGAGCAGTGGGCATTCCATGTTTTTCATTGGCTATTTATTAAGTTTTTCTCTAAATTTTTTTGCCAATTCTCTCCCTTCCAGTTTTACTTGATTAAGGTAAAGAGCATATAGTTTCCTTTTTCCTATTCTTGCAATATAAGAAATATATTTTCCAGTATAAAAGAAAATATGCCAATAGAACTTTTAATCTGTTTGTAGTACTTATTTTCACTTATTTGTTGTTATTATTCTTATTTATTTATGTATTTATTTTTGCGTACATGATTAATGTTAAGATATTGAAAGTCTGGATGTTCTGTAATCAAGTTTCATTGCTTTATTTTACTTTTATTGTAGAAATTCAAGATTCGTATAGAAGATCCACCCAGAAGGAAGCACATGGTGTTTTTGGGTGGTGCTGTGTTGGCATCTATTATGAAAGATAAGGACTCATTCTGGATGACACGTGAAGAATACCAAGAGAAAGGACTGGGAGTGTTAGAAAAACTGGGTGTTAGCCCAAGTTAACTTGGACTGTTACTGTTAATGGTTTTTATCATTTTGAAGGACACAATGCTTAGGAGCTGCTGACAAAATAACAGTGAATCTGATTGATTTTGTTCGAGTTAAACATTGAATGGATCTAATTTTTTCCACCATTTCACAGGATTATATATATATAAATATTAGGACATACATAGCCGTGCTTAAATAACCTTCATTTGTATATAAGCATAAGTATAAAACAAATAGAATAGTATTGGTGAATTGATACGAGGATCGAAACTTTGGATGGTGTACATATATATTAATGAATTGACAAAATGAGTTTTAAAAAAATACAAAAAAAAGTTAAGTACTATGTTAATTGTTATGGGGAATGATATTATTCAGGACAATGAAATGATGAATAATTGATCATTTGAGGAAATGCCATAAAAAAGCAATTTTATATGTTATAAATATGGTAATATCCACATTTATATTATTTGATAAGGTGAAAAGGCTTCTGTATATAAGCCCCTGCAGTTTTGGCGGTTGACCATTTAGGATGTGTTGGTGCAACTTCATGAACCGTAAGACCAAAGGAAAACTGACACCATATCTAAGTTCCAAATGGTGTCACTACCATATTGTTAATTAATTAGCAGAAGTGAACATTCCATAGTAAGATATTAACTTTTTTAAAAACCTTGGGAATTAAAGTTGTCTTAATTAGATTACCAATTGAAATAACATTGGCATGAAGGTAGTGAAGTATATCATAATGAAAACTAATGATTTCACTACAAATAATTAGAGGCCTTGTTACAAATGTAAAGTACCAAGAAAAGCATCTTTTAAAATAAAACTGATTTGATCACCGTTTTTCTCGCTTGACAAGTATGGGTATCTGGATATATAAAAAGCTTATGTATCATCTTGGCCTGTTCTACGCAGAAGTAATTAAAAGCGTTCATGTTCGATACTCCCAGAATGTCCTTTGTCAACTTCAAACCTAATTCATTAAAAATCTAAGTATTTTACATTGCTTACAGTTATGAACCTCAGTTCATTATTTCAAGTTTCTAATTACTTATATTATAATTTTTCAAACAAAATAAAATTGCTATTAGTTGATACAAAATATTTCTTTCATGTACCTTCAACTCGTGCCATTAATGTTGAAATATAAAAATTGTCCTTATAGTTAGAAATAGTTAATATATTTTTATTATTGCTTGCCCTTTATTTCTCTACCTGATCGACAATTGTTGAATTGTCACCCCCCTCCCCCATTTCAGCCAATTTGGCACATTAGCCGAGAAAGGCAACAATTCAAAGCTGCCATGATGTCACCACGCCTGCTTTTTTCTCTCCTGCTCTCACTTGTATAAGGCTTAACCTGGACACATGCTTCAAAAGCTGACCACTTCAATGAGAACCTAATTTTAAAGCGAAACGCAGGGTACCCAGTACCAATTTGGAATCATATAATCTAATTACGGTTCCTATCTAACGTGTGGAAAATGAGTCTCCATTCTTTCAAGTAATGTTACCTTCTGACCTCGCTCACTTCTCTGGAGACATCTAGTCTCACTAAATACACTTATTACCGCCTAATGCGCCGTCTCACCGGTAGGAAAGAGCCATTAAAGCGAGTTGGCGCTTCAAAACGCTGCCGAGAAAGATAACATATATACGCTATGTGTATGGTATGTCATTATTAGATCAATTGAATAATTAGTTGTTTTTTTTACTCCTGTATATGGATACCCTAGTTGTAATTCTTTGTTCATCATTTTTCTTTCAATTTTTTCATTTCACTTTATCTTATCCATTTCACACATCTGTTGGTTTGTTTTTCTTTATTAAGCCTATTTTTTTTTCTTAACAACGGTGCTGTGAACGTTAAGAGATGCAAAGGTATTCGAGACACCATAGCCTCAGGGTAAAGAATTATTTGAAGAGTTTGATTTTTCACTTCGACTAGGACGCTTCAAGGGGCACATTGCCGTCCTGGAAATTCCACCACAAGCATGACAAAAAATAATACATAAAAATTGCGCCTCAGGTAGAGTGATACAATCATTTTTAAGCTTGTAAGATTTAATTGTATTGCGTGGTCCAAGCACCATGTTTCATGAATCATTCATCAAGTCACAGGTAATGTTCATGGTAATAGTTATATTTCCTACCAATACGTTATTGGAACAATGCAAAAACAAAAGAAAATTTGTTGAATCTTTTTAAGGGCCTATCACTTGAGATGCACCAGCCACACCGGGGATAAAGCTACATGTAGGGGCCTACTTCTTACGTTTAATAAATTGAAAATTTATAGGTTGAAAATTCCGTAAGACGGAACTACTGGGGACATTTACCTCCTATTTTCTGTATCTTTATGTTTAGATTTTACCTCATGATTAAAGATATATATTAAAGTATAAAGAGGGAGATTTTATATACGTAAATATAGGCCTATAGCCCAGCGGTTATTCAGATAATTCTTAACTCTGACGTACTAAGTCTAGCGCTGAACTGACTAAACATTTCCTCTGCAATTTCCTAATGCCGTTGGGTTTCTAAAGAAAAAACTGGCTCATGCGTATACCAGTTTTAATGTAAGCATGGTTTTTGAGGAAATTTGCGTGTCTCACGTAGGCCTATATATGTCCGATATGTGATAGAGAAAGGGTTATTTCTAGAAGCAACTGCGTGTGTGTTTTCTTCTCTACCTGCTACGGATGCTTACATAATGCATTATGAATGAATTTTTGTTTCATGGTGAATTGATATGCGTTGATATTTTCTGGTCTCAGTGGTTCAGCTACTGTGGTGAAGGAGAGGAGAGAATTTTGCGGTTGGGGACGTTCCATTCTGTAAGGAGTTATTGATTTAATGATGACAAAAAACACTGTTTTTATCAGTTTTCTGTGGATAACCCTTTTAAATAATGATTTGTCACAGATTTTGTTTTACCCTCCGAAAGGTTTCACTGATGTTACAGCTGGAAAGTACGTGTTATTCTACTCTTCTTCGATTTGCGTGCTTCTGTTTCACTGTTTTATACACTTGAGCATCTGAGTCAATTTCCAGGAAAATACGGCTTGGTCTCCTCTTGTTAAATCGACCGATGCATGGCGCCCCCACCATTACTCGGAATGTCAACATGGCTGACGTGTTGTAGAAGGCCGTGAGGTAGGGACGCGTGTACTTGCCTCAATACAGTTTCAAATATTTAAATAGGTAAGCAAATATGAAATTCTATGTACACTTCGTATGTTGCGTATGCATGCTATTAGTGAAAATGGTCACCTTCATTGATTTTGGCGACTGCGTAACGAGCTATTATTCTTGCGACCTCGGCCCACTGTTTTTATAGCACTGGGCTGTTTATGTCTGTCAGATAAATGATAGGATATGCATGCATTGCTTTAATAGCATCCTTCTGTAAGCGGCAGAGCACAGCGTTTGCAGGTCGTGCATAATATGTTTTTGACTGGTCCTGAAGGAATGAATCTGAGAGTAATTGAAGATGAAAATATCAGTTTAGTAGATCTTTGCAGCTTACAATATTGGAGAAGTGGTCCCGAACGCTGTTCATCATATTTGAACCATTGCCAACATGTGTATAGTCCTTTTGGGAGTACGACTAGGCTGAACAGTCGCGCCTGTTAATGTAAAAGTTAAATGGTTGCATTTCCCTGTAGCTGTATGCAGCCTTAATTTACACGCGCAGCTTTGTGCATGGTATATTTACTATTACACAGACGTAGATCTATGCCATTTAATTAATCCAACTTTCATTCTGATTCACGTTTTATCATCTGTTATTGATTGTTATTTCATTTTTTGATTATTGATGACTTTTTAATGATTTTTTTAGACTTTTATTTTAAAAATTTATGCATTCAGTAATACATGTAGTAAGGATATTTTTGTATGGTGATGTTGTACAATGTACAATCATTGTCAATGTACATGTTTTTTTTTTTTTTTTTTTTTTAATATATAAGAGCTATGGCATGCCATTAAGGATTATTATTCTGATTATTAAGGAGGGTTTGTTTTGTTAATGGCCTGATCTGTTTTCTTTACCTGGGTTAAGTCAATTGCGTATGGGAGTTTAAGCATGCATGTATATGCCCTGGGATAGCACAGGTGCTAATAAATTGGGCAACAATCAGATAGGTGGCTTATCTAGAGTATTGCAATTTGGGGTCAGTGCCCTGAGTGCTGCTTGAGCAGAGGTCTTTTTTTTTTTTTTAATTTAGGAATTCTTATTTTCATGCATAACTGCAATTTGTTCATTAAAAAAAAAATCAACAAAATTGACTTGAAGTTTTGAGCTGATTTTGTGGAGTTTTCTATGTATTAGGTGTCAGATGCATAAGATGGGTGCAATTTAAGTGCTTGAGTTAGCCCTTACTGTTACATACTATGGAAAAAAGTACATACATTTATAGTTTTTTATTTATTTATTTATTTATTTATTTATTTATTTATTTATTTATTTTATTTTATTTTTTTATTTTCTTCCACGTCATCATAGGTAACTGAAATGTAGCCTTTTTTATTTGATATTTAACCTTTTCATTTTAATTTGATTCGTGCCTGGATAAATTATTTTGTCAGAATTTCTTTCTTAGAAAAAAATTACAGGATATTTTGTAAAATATAATTTCAGATTTTTAAATTCAGTAAGTAAGCTATCAATATATCATAGACATGATTATTAATTTTTGGAAAAGGGAAATATCCCCAGCTCTTCATTTCTTCATTAAATTTAAAATCTCATAAATAATGTGTTAAGGAAGAAATGGTGTTTTTTTTTATTGTATTTGCTCAGTGTGCTCTTATTTCTATACAACCATTTTGCATGTTAATGTAGATTTTTTATTTCTGTATATTAACTTAGTTTCCCATTAGTTTAAAGAAAAAAATGGATATTTGCCAACATCCAGGATTCCTTATTGTAACCACAATCCATTGCTGCACTGTCAAAATTAATTTTACATTTTAACCTTTAACTGACTTTAAATATAGATTCTCAATCCCCGATGATGCAAATTAGCTTTCGTTGTGAGGTAAGTATTAAGGTTTTATGACTGTTTGCCCACAGTGTTATTGTATGCTCATATACTGTTCCCCAAAATGGCATTATCTGGAATAGCACCCATTTACTCAAGGATAGTAAAAATGGCTCAGAATGGTTGATATTGCAATGCATCTTCCGTTTAAAGCATGTGCAAATGGCAGTGGTTTATATAAAAGGAGATGAGATAGCAAGGAGAAGGGGAGATGATAGATCAAGGGAAATGAAATTGTGAAGGATAGTCTTGAATTGTGGGAAATCATTTGTGACAATCATGTTTTACGCAACTGAAGCAAATCTGGTTACCGTTCCTTTGGGAATTGAAGTGGAAAGAAGACCTATGAAGTCTAACCTGAGCATGTGCACAGACTGCTCTGTAGATTTTCTTGTAGAAGGAAGGTGTATTTTTAGACAAAAATATTAGAAGAAAGTTTATTTGATATCATGTGTTGAATTTGATTCTTAAATTATTATAAGTATTTATTTGTCAATAATGTACTATTGTTCAGTGCCAATTACAGAAGCCCAACAACACCATAGTTTTTACCATTTCAATTTTTTTTCATGAAAAAGATTTTTAAAATCCTGAAAATATATATGTTATTTGATTGCAGTTCTTCTTATTATTTTTTAAGTATCAGCTGCCCTATTTTTGTGAAAGACTAACAACAAGTATATACTTCAGTTTATTTGATCATGGCCTAGGCTAACTTCACATAGGAAACAAAAAAAATGTGACTCTGCACTGTGTAACTTGGTCTGACTAACTTGAATATAAATAAAAGCAAAA